TCCTGGAAAATGAATATGTTTACAGAATGGATTCGCCAGCTTTCTCCGCTGATTTAAACCCCATTGAACATATGTCGGATATCTTAGGAAGACGCCTATGCGGCATGATCTTACCCTTTGGTGAACGCGAGACAACTAAACCAGATGCTTCTTGAAGAATGGGAATTCTTACGCCAACTGTTAGATAATCTAGCCTTGAGTACTGACAAACGTTGCAATCGATCGAGTGACGTTAAGAAAGGTGGTATCCCTCATTTAGTCTCTGTAGTCTGCTGTTATATGTCTTGGTCGACAGATTTTTATACCAACACTCTTCTGTCAATAAAGCGTTTTCTATTCGTTCCGTACTGTATGCGTACTATGGATTTTATTGTTACTATACTTTCCTCATTCTTTAAATACAACATTAAACCTATGTAGTACTAATTTCATGTCTGCCGGTTGAGGTTTTGCAAATCTATAGCCAAATTTAGAAACGTTTCTAAGTTTTGCAGACTTGTGTACATACTAATTCTGCATTATTTACTTTTTATTTAAATCATACATGGCGACAACAGGTAGCGGTAATAATTTGAAAAGTGATTCGGACACAAAAGTAAGTTTTGGATCTAATAGCTCCTCTCGTACTAAAACTTATGCTTTTATTTTTTTGAACGCCTTGAACATGTTTAAAAATAGTGCCAAATTCAAATATAGTTTGGCTTTCATTTTGAAGAAATCTGGATCGATTTGGATGGCGACCTGTTCTTGTTCAATTGTAAAAGTGTCTACTGTTACAAAAATAAACAATTACCTATTCTTTGCTTAGTACGTATGTTTTCTACTAATAGCGGGGATGCAACAAACGGCGATGTCAGCTTCAGATGCGGGACGTATACACAAGATGAGCATCGTATCCGCATTGTTCTAATACAAACGCCGTGAGTGTGACCCAGGAGGCTGGTTTTCAAAATCTCGTGTACACAGTGGTCCATTATTTTGAACGTCAAGTGTGCAAAATTTCATCCACTGTCAGAAGAAACTGTAGATTTGCAAAAATGTCACACACACATAAACAAACAAACAGAGATTCTTGTATACAGAGAGATTCGCAACAATGCGCTTTGTTTGCTAATTTGAAATTTCACATTAGAGCTTTTCTACTCCAATTAAATATTAGATAAGACTTGAAAAATATTCCTTTTTAGATAAGTTCATTAGGATGTCCTTCCCACCTTCATTTAGATGCTCTACAAACTGTGTATAGAATTTGCAACGTTATGTACGAGTACGTAGAAACATGTCAGATAACATAGAGTGTTCCTTAAGATAATATAAGCTATACGACATGGGTATGCCTTTCATATGAATATGTTGCCTACCATTGATATCAAAACTCACTTGAACGACGATAGTCTAGATTATGAATGGTGTCTACAGAACTTGATCACTAACTTCGAATTACTTCTAGCATTAGTGGCCAACTCTTTCTAAAGAATGAAGCTTATTTTGGTAATCACAGCATTTCAGTTACTCTCATAAAGCAGAAAATAAATGTGTCTAAAACCAGGTGAAAGACAAACTGATCTATTTATCCATTTAGCACTTCCACCCGTATGTTGTACGGACAACCTTTTTTATGCAGCTTGCTTTTACATATGCTGTATGGGCATCTCATTTCCAAACTTTTAGATTTTAACTATCCCGTATGATTTATTTTAGTTTACTTTTTCTGTTTTAGGCGGTGTTATTTAACCGTAAGAACACATTAGTTGTTCCCCTCCATTAAATTCATACTGAAACATTTGCTTTCTTACAGTTGCATTGTGTTTATATTTGCTAAAAGCTTAGCTTAGTAACGATTTATTAGAAATTATTAAACTTTTAAAATATTATTATTAAAAGCATATCAAATAGATTTTAAATTACATTATTGTAATTTGCCTGTTTTAATTTTCTTTCGTTTCCTGTTTTAAAATATACCAAAAAATATTCTTCCTGCTCCAATCCTTGTTTTAAAATAGACCACAATGAGATGAAATATTAAGTTATAGCTTGTAGAGACATTAGGTTATTTCGAAGCAAGGAGACATGAAAGATGTGCAGTGCCCTCGTCGGGACTGAGACCTCGAACCTTTCGATTACGTGCCGAGTATGCTGCCCATTACACCACCTAAGAAGGCGGGAGAAATACCATATGCACTCCTCCTTTTAAAGGGCAACTGGGGATTAGGGGACCCAATCGCCAAATCCTGGTAGGGGAGAATTATCATCCATCACCTTTTTTAGTTTGGATGCCACAGTCGAGATATTAGGTTATTTCGAAGCAGGAGACATGAAAAATTAACTCTGCCCTGGCCAGGACTCGAACCACAGAGCTCTCGAATACCCGCCGAGTGTACTGGCCACTACATCACGAAGGCATGCTAAGGAGGCGGGAGAAATACCTTATATACTTCCACTTTTAAAGGGCGTTTGGGGATTAGGGGACCCAATCTCCAAATCTTGGTGGTGGAAAATCACCATCCACCACCTTTTTTAGTCAGGCGTCACTTTAGAGATATTAAGTATTTTTTGAAAGCAGGAGATGTGAAAAATGAGCAGTGTCGTCGCCGAGACACGAATCTCCGGCCTCTCGAATAGGCGCCGAGTGTGCTGACCATTAAGCTACGAAGGCATGCTAAGAAGGCGGAAGAAATACCTTATAAGCTAGAATTACCAGATGTGTTATAATTGCGAAATTTAAAGCTATATAAAATATTTATTACTACCCGCATGTGTTTAAAACGCTATCATTTCAGAGTATTTTATGTACAATAATCTTACCATAATACTTGTGCACAGAAAGCCAAACTACAGGAGTAATTGCAATTTTTTTCGATATATATATATATATATATATATATGTTTTATTTTTCACATATAAATAACTGTTTTTCCCTATATAATTAATCTAAAAATATAACTTCCTTCCAAGTATTGTATTTAAATTCCAAGTATTGTCTGTTAAATTTAGCAATGCGCAATTAACAGGTATTTAAAATACTAATTAACCTTTGTAACATCTTATTTATATCAGATATGAAGATAGGCAACAGATTCTATCAAAGCCAAATATAGATCTTCAACAGTCAATTAGTGAATTAGATTTTTCAAACGTGTGTTAGTCGCCTGTGGCTAGCAACTCTGACTACCGTACCCAAAGACCGGAGTTCGAATCCCGGATAAGGGATGTTTATAAATGTATATTGTCTGTGCAGCATGGGGACACTCTAAATATGCAACGAACCGAAAGGCCTCTCCAGAGGTTGATGGTAGAGGAAGATAAGTGAGGTAACCCTGGGACCCGTCCCACCGGGATGCTCTCCATCAAAATTGCTGGGGGAACTGAGAAATGTCATACTGTCACCTGCATGATGCTCAAGGCTCTTGCCAACGACAGGAGTAGTCTTGCACCCCTTGCAACGATGAATTTCGCGGGCTTGTTCTGATGTTATTCTCAGACAAGTGAGATAAGTCATAGAATCAAAAACTACAAGAAACGTGTGTTAATATTTGAAGGGTTAATATGTGGCTAATATTATAACACCTGCTACTATTTTAATATTAAATATATTATTAATTTTAAAAGTTAAGTTAGTTTCAATTCTCCATTCATTGTATGTAAATAAGATGCAGTTATCCTCAGATCCTTCTCCACAAAGGGATCTCCCACCTTTAGGTTAATAGTTCTTATGCGTTTATCGTAATTAGTTAAGAAAGTAAATAATTAACATTCCCTGTTATGTAACTATTGTATGTTGCATAATTATCTCTATTCTGGTAAAATTAATTTTTGATCTGATTTTTTAACTAAATATGGCTTCTTTTCGAAAGAAATAGAATGTTATGCTAAAATTATGAAGGTTAAGAGACCGTGAATGAAAAATGTATAAAAAGCAATAAATTAATTTCTCAAGTAATTGAGTTAGTATTTATATTAACTTAACTTAATAAGTTAGTTAATAAGAGTTAATATTTATATTAGAAAAATTTCAACTACTTTGAGATAGTTATATTAGGATTAAACTGCATTTGATTCACATGGAAAAGAAATATATAATTACGAATTTTGTAAATAATTTACATGTAAAATGTAGCATCTCTCATATAACATAGCATGAAAGATCTCAGAATCAAAGCATCGCCTGAATAGGGTTGCACTCTCAAGTCCATTTAATACTGCGGTAAAGGGCTATCTCACTAACAATGTAAGCCTGGCGATGGTTTTGGTTAAAATTCGCTAAACGTAGTTGGCGGCTATTTTGCGACATTTACGTCTGATTCCGGTGGAACTGTAATTAGCCTGATCCCTATGTAACTGTAACTGTATATGCCTTCCCAGCAAATCCGAGACAATTTCTTGGGGAAAAGGGCAGAGGAAAACTATATATGACTGAAGAGAGCATCAGTTTAGTTTCCACGTGACCAGGCTCAAGCGTTGCTGTCAAAACATCGAAGCAAAGGACTTCTTCTTATATCATCTTTTCAATTCTACCTCGTATGGGGAACTCTCGTCTTCGGACTTCATCGTATGTCAGGACCAGGCGGGATTCTCTGAGGATACTGACAAGAGCAAGAACGAATTATCCTGCTGAACGCCAGAAAAACACAGGGACAATGATTGAACCATCACAGGGCGAGGTTACGCATTTGGGGCTCTTTGTATTGCCTATTATTCAGTGTTCTTAATAGTTTAAAGTGGTGACTACTGATTGTGCTCTGTCATGAAAATTTTTTTTAAATTTATCTTTCCCCCCTTTTTTTATATAAATTTCGTTAATCTTTCATCGGTTTTGTGTGCATTCACTCTATGACGAACCTGTACGAAAGTAATAATATCAATGTAAAATTTAAAACTAAATAAAGTTAACCTCAAATTTGTAACCAAATCTCTATGTTAACAAAAGATTAAATGTTTGAAATCTAATTTTACATTTGATTTGTTTTTCGCTTATATATTTATGTAATATTTATTTCAGGAGTTACTATACTGCTGTCTTTAACTGTGTTCCTTCTGTTGGTTGCTGAGACTATGCCGCCGACATCGGATGCAGTGCCTCTAATAGGTTTGATATAAATTTCAAATTACATAGATTTGCTCAATTACAAAAAACAAGACTGTGTACTTTATTTATTGTTTCCTTTAATGTTAAAAAAAAGTCAAGTTCGTAAGAATGGTTGGTATTTAACGAAATATGATTCCCAAGTATGCAAAAATGATCCCTGCATTAATGTAACATAAACAAAAAGCGTCATGCCATAAAAAAATTCATTGTTTGAAAGTGTAGATTATTTGTTTACTTTCTTAAGGGGACTCATACACCTTAAAACCCATAAGATGTTCGAATAGGTGACTGTTGCAAGAATTGGAATAACTTATTTATTTTAAAAGCAATTACTACCAACGTTTTACAGCTGACTACATAATATAGCTGCTTCCAGAAATAGTAATCAGAAATTTTGTGTTGCCACAAATATTTTTATAATTTAATCCGCTTCGTGACAACATTTTTCGTCATGTTTCCAACTTGCGCGCACAGTTTAAAACATTATGTTTCATAATTTAATTCCATATTTAATATATAGCTTTTATAACATTTGGAAACTACTGTGAACCTAAAGTTCTAAAAATTTCATGTTAAATTTTTATTTTATTTTGAGTTAAGTTTATAAAATGTATTTTATTAACAAAATTTTTAATGTTTTCGTCCATAAAATTTTTCACTATTAAAATATTCATCACGTGGTTGGTTCAGTTGGAAAGTAGTGCCCATATAAAGAATTTCATCCAATTTCAAGTATGTACCATTAGCTATTTTTTAAAATATCATGCGCGCAAGGTGGAAACATGTCGAAATATTTTGTCACAAAGAGGATTAATTTACAAAAATATTTGTGGCAACACAAACTTTCTGGTTACTAATTTCCGAAGCAGCTATATTATGTAGTCAGCTGTAAAAAGTTGGAAGTAATTGCTTTTAAAATAAGTAAAATATCCCAATTCTTGCAACAGTCACATATTCGAAGATCATAAGGGTTTAAGGTGTATGAGTCCCCTTAAAGGGGAATCAAATGTTTGCGAGCAGTACCAATACCAGGCTGTCGGCAGCCTATGTGCAAATTAAAATTGGCGGTCTCTTTTTACAGAAATACTATAATACGTTTGATAATCATTTCGCCGTCCTTAATTAATTTGGCCGCCCACGTACTGTGCACCCTCTTGTTCCCTAATTAGGCTCGCGAATTTGAAATTTCCCTATTTGAAAATCCATTTTAAAGTTTTCAACTGAATTATTAACCAGTTTACTAGTAAATCTATCTTAATTACAGCTTAATTTTGTCAAAGAGTTAAATCGCAGTATTTAAGAAATATCTAATGCTTTAAAACAAACATTCCTATGATACTTTAAAAAAGTGAATTGTCAAAAATGTAGAATAAGTAAAACGTTGTAGAGACATTAGGTTATTTTGAAGCAGGAGACGTTAAAAATGAGCAATAACCTCCCCAGGACTCCAGCCTGGACCTATCGAATACGCGTCGAGTGTGCTACCGGTTACTCCACGAAGGCATGTTGTAAGGAGGAAGGAAAAACCTTATGTAATCCCCCTTTTAAAGGGATACTGGTTATTAAGGGGGCCCAATCCCCAAATCCTGGTGGTGACAATATTTTCCTCCAACTTTTATTTCGAGCGCCACTGTAGAGACAGGTTTTATTTTGAAGCAGGAAACGTGAAAAATGAGCAATGCCCTCGCTGGGATTCGAACCTGGACTCTCGATTATGCGTCGAGTATGCTACCGTTACACCATAAAGGCATGCGGAAGGAACAAGAAGACACCTTAAAACTTGAATTAAAATTTTCGTTTGTATGAAACTCCATTTATTAAATACATGTATTAGCATTTTATTTCAATCATGCTCTGCAAATAAAATTCAGAAATGTGTATATTATTATTACTAAGTTATTGTTTAAATAAAATTTGAAATGATTTTAAATAATTCAGTTTTTAAATTTTACTATTACATTTTTAGGTATCAATACTCTTGCTCAAATTGCTTTATGCCTCCAGATACATTGCAGAAAACGCTGGGGGGGGGGCAACGAACGGTAAAATCGCTAAACACTGGTATTTTTGACCTGAGTTCGAATTCAGACGAACGGCTGGCTGTATGTGTGATTTCGGTGTTTTTCCCATGAGTACGTATATACGAGCCTGTTTCTCTTAGAAAGCCCTCCACGAAGGCATCCCTTCCTTTAAGCAGATAAACCTAGCGGGCTTTGCCATAATAAACTATACCAAGCCAAAACAAAACAAACCAGGAAACGCTGGATGGGATTTTGAATGCTTATTTTTTTTTTTTTTTTTTTTTTTTTTTTTTTTTTTTGAATTTAATACACATTTCTTGTTCTCATGTTTAGTAAAAAACAAGTGTAGCTCATTCTTAGTTTAAATATTCGTCTGAAAAATAACTACAAATATTAATGCTAATTATACGCATAGTTTATAGAAAGCATAATAATGAACATGAGCAAAAAAATTTGAAATATTTATCTTAATGCAAAAAAGGCCTTAATATTTTTTAAACATGAATGTCACAAATATCAGGATAGAGCAAATTCAAGTTATAATTTTCGTTGGTAAAAATGACCATTAGATCTCCCTAAAGTTCACTTTCTTTACGAATTTTGCCAGAAGAAGATAAAACAATTTGATATTCCGTTGCACTATGACAATAATAAATACCAGCCTTTCAAAAAGGGCTGTCTGCTTAAAGTTCTTCCATTGATGATAAAAATCCCAGTTGTAAAGACTACTGAAGGTACTACAGTCTGAAATTTTCCCTACATGTTTTTAAAATGTTGCAGCTCGTACGTGAGAATACAAAATAGACATTTTGATTACTTTAAAAACTGCATTCAATAAACAAAATTATACTTAATTTTATTGAGATTATTGATTTGATATTTATTTTATTGAAGTTACATTTCTTTTATCGTATTATAATGCATTTGAGAAGAGTCATAATACATTTATTTTAAAGTTAATACGTATAATCCACTCAGTGATTTATAGAAAATAAGTACTTGTTGATAAATTTGCATTGTCAGATTAAGAAAAAAATAATGACGTTAGAAAATTTATTCAAACAGTAATCGATTTAGGAATATTAAATTAACGGTGCTTTTCATTTTTCTTATCTCAGATATTGTAATTCATTTAAATAGGTTTTCAGAAATCAGGATCATTCTTATTTAAAGGAATAAAAAATATAAAATCTAAAATTCAGTCTTTTAACGAATCATTGATTCGCTCGGACTTTAATAAAGGTAGCAGCAACGTAACCACTCAGCTTTCTCTAACGTATGCTTTAGTAGAAAGTAGCATAAATGTGATAGTTCGAGAGAAGTCTAGACCCCGGCTAGTGCGTGCTTCCGGTGATTTAAGACATAAATAAAGTGTCACGCAGTTCTCTTTATTAGTAATTTCACGGTAGGAAAGAATTAAGTTCGATAATTCGTTCTTAAATCGTAATTTTCCTTTCGATTTTTAGTTTAAGTACATGCATCGAAATTGGAATTAAATTGATAGATTATTTTAAGTTCTTAAATGAACCGCAGTGTTTGAAAAAGATTTGTATGTTCTGTTATTTGCTTGTCTTTTTGCTTAGATTTATGAAACGCATGCTAAATATCAAAGGAACACAGAGAAATTCTCGACGTTTTAACTTTAGCGCCTAGTAGTAAACGTTCTTTAATGGAAAGTTAGTAGCCTAAAATCGCAATGCATTGTTTTTATTTTTGTTTTACATTAGCTTATAAAACATTATTGAAATTTTATTCAATTTTATGAAAAGAGTTTTAAAGCTTAATTTTATGCATTTAATATTTCCTATTCACGAAATCAAATTTTATTAATTTAAAAATTGAAGTTGATCATAAATTTTCAAATTAAAAGCATAATTTTTTCATTTGTATGCCTAAACATTAGGTGTCGAAAAATACCTTACTTATTGCTCCGTAAGGTATTTACTTATTTATTTTATATAACTATTTATTTTATGTTTAGTACACATATTAACATTCTTCGACTGCCGACGCAAATGAGCTTCTTGTTTGTAGGTATTTATTTATTTTTATGTAGCTAGTTGTTTTATGTTAAGTATCTTTATTGTCAATCTCCCCATCCGTTTTCCTGCCAGAATACTAATTTTAGTTCGGGCGTATTCAGATGAGGTAGAAAGAAATGGTATTTAAAAGAAGGTTTTAGATTTATTAGACAGAGCGTGATCCGCCTGATAAAGGCCACGTTACTAGATGGAACTCTACGATAGCAGGTTTCATTGGCGCTGCGTTTATTGTTGTGAATAGTGCTTGTCATGTCGGTATAGGTTTGAGTCAACTTGCGCGTTAATCTTTCCTGCTTAGCTCTAAACTAACTTAACTTAGTTTTAATTTGAATTTCTGGTTTTTGAGTTAGGACATAAATTCTGGTTGGTTTTTAAACACAAGATACGTCTTTTTTTAACTAAGGACATAAATTCTGGCTGGTTTTTAAACACAAGATGCGTCTTTTTTTAACTATTCGAGCTCTTAATAAAATGGTCTTTTACGCCCTTATTACATTCTCAGTTTCCTTCATAGCATTTTCTTCATCGTTTCAGTCATAGTGATAAGTCGCTTTAGTCTTCTAGAGTCTCGACTTAGTGTATAGTCTCGAATTAGTGACCTTCTAGAGTATCGACCCAAGAAAGCGAGACTCTATAACTAAACTCATAAAAGCATTTCCTCCACTTTATGAATTTACGAGAAGCATTTCCTTTCCTTAACTTATAAGGAGTTTTTGCATTACCCGGGATGTGTCCTCGTGATATAAATGCAACTCCTTTAAGTTATAATTGTTTTTTTTTTAATTTTTAATTTAACAATCTACATCAAAAATATAAATTTGAATAACTCGTTCAAATTCGTCTTAAAAGATTTAACTAAATTGTTTACTAAATATGACAATTAAAAAATATAAGCATAATTGTATATATACTATGTTAGGTCACCTTGGTATGTTAG